CACCAGCAGAGCTAGGGGTCAGAGGGCTGGGGCAAGCGCTGCACAGTCAGGGAATGTGGGGTGCAGGATGGAGCTGTGGCTCATCCGGGGGGGTGCAGAGGGGTGCGACTCCTGCTGCAGCTTGCACCCCAGGGGAGGCATGGGGGACATGTGTCCCCTGAATCTGTGCGTGGGGTGAGGGTGGGCTGGGGCCAGAGGCTGAGTCAGGCTCTTCCCAGTGGGAGGGGCTGGACCGGCTGCCAACTGGACATTGTGATGAGATATAAACAAGTAACAAAGCCACAGGATCATAGATTTTTTGACCCCTATATCCCTATAGGTTTATTAGTTAGTGCTGAGATTGGGAGACATTTGCCTATCTCCCTCCCTTCACCCTTGAACATGAAAATTACACATCCTTGAGTTAATCGATAAGGTGCATCTCTACTCTGCCTTCTATACTATGGTTGTAGTGTCTAAATGTTTTTCCAAGGAGGACATCTGGGGAACATAACTGATGGCTATACCTGTACATAATCTGTGTACAGGTCCAGACTTAACACATACTGCAATAAGTGGAAAGCAGCACACTAACACAAGGGCATAATGGGATGGGGGAGTGGCACAAAAATGTGTTTAATACTAACTAAGCCAGCTTTCTGAAAGCTGCAAGCCATCTTGCTTTCCCTGCTTAACACATTCCTTCCTACCAGGCCAGCAAAGAGTTTCCTACTCTGCTCTGCATGAAACAGGAGACTAACTCAGATCCAAGAGACAAACAAATCTATGATAAGTGATCTCCATGCCCACCGGAGCAATCATGTAAAGCAGCAGCAGAAGTGCGTCTGTTCCCACCTATGTATGAGAGCCTTGTTCCTCCCATATCTCAGCTGAAGATGGCAGTGGAGCTGAGCCCACGGGAAGAGGAGCACCAGGCTCTCCTGCGAGCAAATGCAGAAGGCACTGGGGGGAGGGTGGGGGATAAAGCAGGACCCGAGGCGGCTGCGGGGAGAAGCTCCCATGACAAGGGTTCAACAGAAGTTTTAGCACGGTGGCACAGAGATGTCTCAGCAACTGACGGCACAGGCCGGCCCTGGCGAAGGGGGGAGAAGAGCCCAGCCGGAAGGCGCGGAGGGAAGGGGCTACATGGAGCCGTTACCTCAATGATCTTGATGAAGCGCGGGAAGACCGGGTTCCGGGTCACGGCGATGAGCGGCACGTTGGGGAAGTGCTCGGGGATGAGCAGCGGGGTGAGCGCGGTCATGACCGGCCCAGCCCCGCCGCCGTCACCCCCCGCGGCCCCATCCTCGGCCCCGCCGCCCTCCAGCCCGTCGCCGCTGCCCAGGCTGCTAAGGCCCCGCATGTGCCGCCGGGGGCCGAGGCTCGAGGCGACGAGGGGAGAGGAACACGGAGGGCTCGGCGCCCACGGGGACGCGGAGGAACACGCCGCGTAGACCCGCCGCCGCGCCGCCCCGAGCGAAGGAAGAACCCCGCGCAACCCCGGCCGCCAGCATCGCCACACAGACAGGCACCGCGACGCCGCCATTTTGCACGCGCGCCGTGAGCACGTACTTCCACCCCACGAGGCGGCGCATGCGAATGACGCCCCCCGCGTGCGGGCGCCGGGCGCACAGGCGCAGAAGCGCCGGTTCCGTCTGACCGCGGCCGAACGTGTGAGAACAGGCGCGTGACTGCCGGGGCTGCTGGAGGCGGGGCTAAGCCGCGGGCTGCGCTGCGTCGTTTCCTGCTCCGCCCCGGGGGCTGCCGTCCGACCGGCGTGTCGGTGCTGCGCGTCTCGTGTCCCGCAGGGCCCCGCTCGTCTGTGGCGCGCGCGGGACAGCCCTCGCTTCGCTGTCGTGCGGCCGATGCCTCCGCAGCCCTCCCGCTGCGCTCCGGGGCACCAGCCACGGGACGGCAGCTGCTCGTCAGCCCTTCGGTGATCCTGAGCCTCGTCCTGACTAGCAACCTGCTGCTTGTGACAACGCAACGCAATGCAGCCTCTCCCTACCCTGCACCACAGTCCTGACTCGTGACCCCTGATGATTTGTCTTCTATCTACTGGTAAAAAACTTGGTTAACCCAGGGTTCAGGTTGACTTGGTCATGCCTTGTACCCTTTCAGAATGCTGTATTTGCACTTCAGTCTCTTAAAAGGGGAAACGGAGCTCAAGCACGATAAAGTTACAATAACACATTTTAGGTCATTGCAGCAGTTGTCCCTGTGCCTTACCTCTGGCAGGTTATCTGCTGCCTGTGCTCCCAAACTTACTCCTGGGCAAGGACCCTAAGAGGGTGACACTGACCCATGAATGCTACTTCCTTGCTCTCATTAGGAAGCTGGGGGACTGTGGCGTAGACACCCATACAGTCCAATGGGTCGCCAACTGGCTAGAGAGTCGCACCCAGAGGGTGGTAGTGGATGGGTCCTTCTCGACCTGGAAGGACGTGGGAAGTGGGGTCCCTCAGGGCTCGGTCCTTGGGCCTGCCCTGTTCAACATCTTCATCAGTGATTTGGATGAGGGGGTGCAAAGCACCCTGTTCAAGTTTGCTGATGACACTAAGATGTGGGGGGATGTGGGCACAATAGAGGGGAGCAACAGGCTACAGTTGGACCTAGATAGGTTACAAGGATGGGCGGAGGAGAATAGGATGGGGTTTAACACAGACAAGTGTAAGGTGATGCACCTGGGGAGGAACAATCGGCACCATACATACAGGCTGGGGAACTCCCCTCTTGTCAGCACGGAGGTGGAAAAGGATCTGGGAGTCATTATTGACTCCAAGATGAACATGAGTCGGCAATGTGGGGAGGCGGCTAGGAAGGCCAACTGCACCTTGTCGTGCATCCACAGATGCATCTCGAGCAGGTCCAAGGAGGTGATCCTCCCCCTCTATGCGGCACTGGTCAGGCCGCAGCTGGAGTACTGCGTCCAGTTCTGGGCGCCGCACTTTAAGAGGGATGTGGACAGCATCGAGAGGGTCCAGAGGAGGGCCACTCGTATGATCAAGGGACAGCAGGGTAGGTCCTATGAGGAAAGGTTGTGGGACCTGAACCTGTTCAGCCTTCAAAAGAGAAGGCTGAGGGGGGATCTTGTGGCCTGTTATAAACTGGTTAGGGGGGATCAGCAGGCGCTGGGGGAGTCCCTGTTCCCCCGAGCGCCGCAAGGAGTGACCAGGAACAATGGTCACAAGCTGGCGGAGGGAAGGTTTAAGTTGGACATCAGGAGGCGCTACTTCACGGTCAGGGCGGCTAGGGTCTGGAACCAGCTTCCAAGTGAGGTGGTGCAGGCTCCCACCCTGGGGGTTTTTAAGAGGAGGTTGGATGACCACCTTACTGGGGTCATTTGACCCCAGTACTCTTTCCTGCCATGGCAGGGGGTGGGACTAGATGATCTACTCAGGTCCCTTCCGACCCTAGAAACTATGAAACTATGAAATGCAAGTTAACCAGACAGTCCCTCTTGTTCAAGGCAGAAAAGGGCAGAAGGTGATCAGTGGATCTCTGTACTGCAGCAACCCAGGTGACTTCACAATTGCTTATCCTTTCCTGGGAGAGACCGACCATTAGGAAACAGTAGCCTAGTTGGGCCCAAGCTGGGTGGTGTACACACCCCTCAACTTCTCTACCATCCTGATGCCTTTCCCTTGAGAGCCAGCGTAGGCCACTGCTGCATCTGAAAACTGAAAGCTTGGACAGTGTACAAGACAATGGCTGGGGCAGGACTGGATTGTGGTAACAAGACTGCCACAAAAAAGAAAAAAAGATCAAACTCCGCTAATGGCTTGCAACCCATTAGGCATCAAGACAGTGGTGTGTTTGTACCCAATGCCAGACTCATGCCATAAAGTAATAAAAGTAAAGGTTAAAATTGTTTGCAGAGTCCTGACACACTCATCACGTGTATTTCCAAGCTAAGAGAGTCAAAGGAAAAGCTGGGCCAGTGAGCCAGTAAAGCCAAGGAAACTACATATGCATTTCAGTTGACCTAGAAGCTAAAGAAGACAAAAGGCTAAATATGCGTCTCAAAAGAAACCTGTAAAAGGTCCACAGCTTGAGATGCAGTTCCCCACAAAGCCCTGCACTTATCTCCTTGAAACTTGGTAGGCTTTGTGGCCTCAGCAGGGGCCACTACCCCTGCAGTTTTGACCCCCCTGTGGTGTAACACATACGCGTGACATGAATTTTGCTTTCAATAATTTGGGGTGCAGTTCCCTCCAAAACCTTGCACCTATCATCCTGAAACTTGGCAGACTTTGTGGCCTCACCGGGGCTATCACCCCTACAGTTTTCACCCCCCACATACATGTGACATGAGTTTTGCTTTCAAGAATTTGGTGTGCAGTTGCCCCAGAACCCCTACACTGATCTTTTTGAAACTTGGCAGGCTTCATGCTCTCAGCAGCGGCTGCCACCCCTGCCAGTTTCATCCAAATCAAACAAAAAGCAACAAACTTATAGATATTTCATTGATTCCCCATTATACCCTATGGCTGGATTTCTGAGGCAGCTCTGAAGCTTCGGAGCCGCTTCGGCCAGATCAAAGTGGGAACCTGGTCCGGAGCTCCAGATCGGATCGCTGGCATCTGAAGCGGCCAGATCTGAAGCCGGGTCGAATAGCTGCCTACTCACACAGGCCTAACAGTCACTACCCTTCACCATTCCTGATAATGCTGCATCTCTCCAATCTGGCCATGTGTGAGGTACAGCAAGATACCCTGGAGGACTCTGGCACCTCAGACAATTTTATGGACCAGGCTTCACCAGGGCATGTCATATCCCCATACGATGCTGACATAACCCAGTGGTGACAGAATTAGTTGACTATTTGCTGCTCACTTCAGGGCCCAATTATCCTCAAAACTTCTTCCCGCCAAGTTTCCTTGCAGAGTGACCATGACATATCTGCACATACCCCTATGGTGTTGGAGATCTGACTTACGTTCCATATCCAAGATCCACTGACAGTCCATCTCAGCTTGAACTACACAGTCATTTAAAATTTGATACCCAATTTCACTTAGCGCTCAGCAAGTTTCATTATAATGCTCACAGTCGCCATCTTAGGTCATTAAAAACAACTGTGGTCTCCATGTTGGGTCATCAGATACTTCGGTTTCACTTAATACACATTTCACTTAACACTCAGTTTTTCAGGAACCAATTAAGAGCACTAAGTGGGGGTTACCTGTATTGCTGAAGAACCTGTCTCCTACTAGCAAAGCCATTACATGGCCTGCACCAGCATCCTCCTTGGGGAAGCCGTGTATGCCCAGAAACTCAGGGGCATCTGAAGCCCAGCCCCTGACCTCTTAAGTGGTAAGCCCTGAACACACCAGGGCAAAATGACTCCAGAATTGCCACTCTCCCCAGTAAATACTGGGATTTTGCTGAAGTCTTCAATAAGAAAAATGCAGATATTCTACTAACCCACAGGCCATATGACTGTTCCGCTGAGCTACAGCAGTGATTCACAGAAGTTTAGGGCCAGAAGGGACCTTGTGAGATCATCGGGTCCAGTCCTCCTGCTCTGGTCAGGAAAGACTGCTGGAGTCAAATAACCCCAGCATTGTGTGCGTCCAGTCTCCTTCCGAAGATCTCTAGGGTAGGTGCCTGCACCACCCCAGCTGGTTCTGTTTTTTCACCTGTATTTCCTGTGTGAACTAGAGCCAAGAATCTTAAGAAATCACCTTATAGAACCCTTGACTAAAGAGTTTATCCTACCATCTACTTTCCCAGCTGTCCTCTTAGTGACAATGAAGAATGGTTCCTTGTGCCTGTGTGTAGAGCTACTGAGCCCTGAATAGGGTCACTATTTGGAACCACTATCCATTTCCCCTTATTCATGTTGGAAAGGCTGGGACAAATTTGCATGTTCATGAAGGGGTCATACAACTTGATTCATATCCATGTAGGGGAAGAGTGAAAGATGCCCCTCAGTACTTGATACGGTTTCATAGAGAAGTAAGCCTGGCAGGGACCTCAAGAGATTATCTAGTCTAACTGGGGATCAAACCTGCAACCCTGGTGCTTTTAGCACCATGCTCTAACCAATGGTCTCTTTGAATATGTCCTTTGACCTTTCCAACACTTGCCATTTTCCAGCACTTCGATAACATCTTTTGGGATACAGTACCATGAATAAGTCTAGGGTATGTGCACAATATCCTTATTTTAATGAGTCCCAGGAACAGCATAACCAGCACATTTGCCCTGATGTATAATGGCTCCACCTTTTTGCAAAATTAGAGAAGTGCAAGTTTGATAGTCCCACTATGGAATGCTTGGG